GAGTATGTTCTTTTGTTGCATAAGCATTGTTAGCTCTTTCTTCTTCTTTTGCTATTGCATCGTCTACATATTCTTTGTCAGCTTTGTTGTCAACATCTGCTTTCAAAAGAAGTTCATTTATAGGTTTCTCGTTTAAAGTTCCTTTTGTTGGATTTATACAGACAGTATTGTTCTTCTTGTCTTGAAACAGAAACTCATCTGTCATTGGGTTTAATGTCAGTTTTAAGTTTCCTTCTTTCAATGACTCAGATATCTTAGAATAGTTTGAAAAGTTTGTTGTGTTCTTATTTAGAGCTTGCATAATGAGTTGTCGGTTGTGTTGTATTTCTCTCATGGAAGCAATATCTTTCGACATTTTTATTCTAGATAAAATATGCTTCCAATAGAAAAAGAAAATTCAAGAGTTGCTACAACTAAACCATTAGATGAACTTTTTACTAATGTCGGTCAAAAGTTTGAGACAGAGACCGTAAAGCATGAAGGCTATCGTTTTGACTACCCATTAAGATGGCTAAGAGACCCATCTGTCACAAAAGCTATTGGCTTTCGTAGAATGAAGTTCATTTCAGAAGCCATACATGGTTTCCCATTTACGGTCGGTTTTGAAGTTCGATACTATAACAAAGAAAAACGTACGTATGAGAAATTTGAACAGGGAAAACTTTTACAAGTTAGTTTGCTTGTAAACTTAGAAACAACTCTTCAAGCTTTTCAAGAAAAAATAAACGATATCTATATCGAATATGCAAACCAGTATAACATTGACGAAGGAGAGTACCATCTCGATATTATTTATGACAGGAAAAATGCAACTGTTAAAATCAATAAAATAGAAGACCTTGGAGAAAACGTTTATATTTCTACAAAATATAACAACTTGGCATGGTATAGATTTATGAGGATGTTAAATCAGCCTGCAGAATATCCAGTACACCCGGACTTTTTTGAAGTCGAAAACCCTAATGGAACATATGAAAATATTTTCGACCAAGATGCTATTATTGTTCATGCTTCATTTTCTGGCGCCCAAAACTCTTTCTTATGCTTGGCAAATGACTTTTACGAAAAACCTACAAAGTTATACGAACCACCAAGTGGAAGTATTTCAGACTTTCAAGTATGGTTTACTACAGATGGAAGAAAAAGAATAATTCCATTATACCATGCGTTTTACTTAGAACTTAGTTTCATATACAACTACTATCGAACGGTAAAAATATAATTTTTTAATACGGTTGAGGTGTTGGATTTGGTTGCCAACTTGACTGTGGTGCAGGTTCAGGCTGTTGTATAACAGGAGCTTGCTCTTCTGGTTCAGGGTCTTTAGGTATAATACCAACAAACTGACCTACTCTTTTACCAATATTTTTGACTCCGTTCCAAATTCCTTTTCCGACAGATTTTATTCCATTCCATATACCTCTTCCAACATTTCGAAAGAAGTTTCCTATCTTACTGAAGAAACCCATTTTACTATATGTAAAAATCTAATGTCCGCCTAGTCTCTTACGTTTCCTGTTGAGTTCCATAGCATTCTTTAACTGGAGCTCATACATTCTGTTTCTCCTCTGGTAGAAAACATATTCTGGGTCAACTCCTGTGTTCGCGTCATCTGCATAAAGTTGTTTATATCCCACTTCAGGGTTTGTATAAAACTCTTTCCATCTCATATTTGCATACCATGGTGGCAAACCTAACGCAGCGTCATTTGACATGGCAGTTTGCATTTGTACATCTGTTGGCACTTGACCATAGTTTGCCATTGCAGTTTGTATTCTAACTTCATTTGGAATATTCTCTGGGTTTGGTTGTCCAGGTTGCTGTGCATTCGCTAAGTTCTGTGCGTCCATTTAATATTAGATAAAAATATCTCTTACGAGTACATATACTGAACATTTGCAGGCATTGGTTCATCTTCATATTCTCTGTACTTTTCTGCCACGTCAAATAAATAAATGACACAATGGAAAAAACCTAAAACAAGTAGTCCTATTTCAAACCACATTTACTTACTAATAAAATTTCTTTGTTATGACACTTTCTCCAGTTTATAGGACCTCTCTCATATTCTATCTTGTCATATATAAACTCATAGTCATGTATGTCCTCTAACCATCTCATAACGGTTTCCAAACCACTTTTATCGGATGTAAAGTAAAAGCATGGATGGTTATGTATAACGTCTAAAGTTTCTAAAGAGTCTCTCAAAGTCCAGTCTACTTGGTATTGAAAATCCCATGTGTTATAGAACGGCGGGTCCACTATAAAGAAAACATTTTCCTTGTCTTTATATTTTTCATACAACTCTGTCCAATGACATCTCACAAACTCTATACCCTCAATATATTTTTCTATGTCCTCTTTGAAAACATTTGTATAGTTAAGATATAAAACTTTTGACATAAGTGTTTCAATGTCATGAACTCTTATAGAACCACTATATAATAGTCTAGCAGATATACTATCCCAGTCTATATATTCTGCTTTTTTCAAAACCTCTCTCACAATATTTTTCTTATCTAATGGTATACGTTCCATCTTACCTATAGGTATCTTTTCTTTTAACTCTTTCAATATATTGTTTGTGTCTGGAATATGTTTGAGACGGTCCATATAGTTGTCGAAGTCATTGCATATAATCTTTGAGTCTGGGAATATTATATGACATAAATGGGATATATAGAAACTTCCACCGAACAAATCTACAAATGTTAGACCATTCGGTAGTTTCTTAAGTTCTCTCAATATAATATCTTTACATCTACTCTTATTTCCAAAGAACGGTAACGGTGGTTTTGTAAAATTCATTTATATATAATAATAAAAATGTTTTTACCTGAAAAGTGACAGAAAAGTGACAAAACATGTACGATGAAGAAGTCTTGACAAAACATGTACGATGAAGAAGTCTTGACAAAACATGTACGATGAAGAAGTCTTGACAAAGCATATACGAAGAAGTCATGAAAATTCAAGAGGTTAGAAAAGAGGTTAGAAAAGAGGTTAGATCTAACCTTCTACCCTAAACATTATTTTTTGGTCCTTTACACTCATTACGAAGAAGTCTTGACAAAACATGTACGATGAAGAAGTCTTGACAAAGCATATACGATGAAGAAGTCTTGACAAAGCATATACGATGAAATCATGAAAATTCAAGAGGTTAGAAAAGAGGTTAGAAAAGAGGTTAGATCTAACCTTCTACCCTAAACATTATTTTTTGGTCCTTTACACTCATTACGAAGAAGTCTTGACAAAACATGTACGATGAAGAAGTCTTGACAAAACATGTACGATGAAGAAGTCTTGACAAAACATGTACGATGAAGAAGTCTTGACAAAGCATATACGAAGAAGTCATGAAAATTCAAGAGGTTAGAAAAGAGGTTAGAAAAGAGGTTAGATCTAACCTTCTACCCTAAACATTATTTTTTGGTCCTTTACACTCATTACGAAGAAGTCTTGACAAAACATGAAAACATATATAATTTGTGAAAAGCGACAGAAAAAGTGTCAACGGCTGGTCGGCTGGGGTTCGGTCCTCCTCTTGGGTCTTGTGCAAAATTTCTTATGGGCTAGAGGGCGCAACGCGCCTGGAAGCCCTTCGAATATAAACATCATTTATACTAATCATCTTCAGGGCTAGAAGGCACGAAGTGCCTGGAAGCCCCACTACCTTTTTTTTTTTTTTTTTTTTTTATAGAATTATGAAATATTAGAAAAATAAAAATTAACCATAGAGATGAATTAAAAAAAATCACATCAAAAAGTATTCAAAAATTCAATGAGATCTGTCAATTTTATTCCGTGTTCATATTGATGAATATTTCGAATTGAACTTTTATATTAACACAGTGGTATATTCTCTTAGAGAGGTATTGCTTGACGTTTTAATTTTTTTTCGGAGCACCCCCTTAAGATAAAGGATAAAAAAAATAAAAAACAAAAAAATTGCAGGGTAAAAGGTACACATTCATACTATGTACCTCTTACCCTGCAATTCTTTCTAGAAAATTCCAAAACTTTGGGTTAATGTCTTGCAATTAACCCAAAGTTTTGGAACTTTAAAGTGGATATGGAAGGCTTTGGGGTACATATTAATATAATATACCCCAAAGCTTTCCATATCCACTACAAATGGGAGAAACTTTGCCCGGATGTTAACCTATTCGGACAAAGTTTCTCCCATTTTAAGAAGGAATTGCAGGGTAAGAGGTGCATAGTATGAATATGTACCTCTTACCCTTCAATTTCTTCTAGAAAATTTCAAAACTTTGAGTTAATTGCAAGACATTTATAAGAAACTAAAGGCTATCAACATGGAATTGTTCCTTATGAGGTATATATTCATTATGTGTACTTCATAAGGAGCAAGTCCCACTAGAAAGCTGGGAAACTTTCCTCGAATAACTTATCATTTGAAGAAAGTTTCCCAGCTTTCTACAAGAAACCAAAGGCTGTGAAGCACAAATACATTATCAGTGCCTCACAACCTTTGGTTTCTTACCAAAAACGAGAAAACTTGCTCGACATTCTTTCGCATTTCGAGCAAGTTTTCTCGTTTTTGGCAGGGACTTGTTCCTTATGAGGTATATAGTAAGAATATATACCTCATAAGGGGCAAGTCCCACTCGATTTGATTTAGTCTGTATAAGAATAAAATATATAAGGAAAATGTTGAAATGGTATTCGAAAAGTAATGTTGGCAAATTGCGAATGATGGAGAGTTGAGGATTTAGTATATACGATATAACTAATGCTTGCATTTGAATTCAAATAACAAAACTATTCTATATATTCGAATTCATGAAATTGCAAGCCAAAAATAATATCTCTATGAGTAAGGTAATTTATGGTTATGCTTTTAATGGTAAATTATTTTTGATATTGATATTTATTCTAAAATGAAAGCAAGAGTCTAATTTTAGTGCATTAGTTAAATATATGTCATTTGGAGATGATCATCTTTTGATTTATTCTATAAAATTTTTTGATGTTAGATGAATTATTCGAAATATGATGAAGCAGTTAGAATTTTATTCAGTACCAACCAAAATGATGCTTCTCAATTGCAAGAAGCTAACGATTATTTGCGTGAAAATGAATATTCTCCACAATCCTTTCAATGGACAATAGATAAACTTCAAACTACAACTGAAAAAACGATAGTTAAGCATGCAGAAATCCTACTAACCCACTGGTGTGCAAATGCGTGGGAACAAATTCCAGCAGATTTAATTGACCAACTGAGACAAGCATTATTTCTTTCGAAATTCATGTCAAACAACGATATAGATCAATCTTTACTTAATATTATAGGTACAAGCCAAGTTTCATTCGTTTTAAAAATGTATCCGCAATATTGGCCATCATTTTGGTCAGATTTCCTAGAAGTTGCCGATGGAATGGTATACACATTCCTCTTAGCACTAAAAGATTACACAAAAGCATTAAATTTACGAGATCAATTACAATATCGTGATTTCAAGAATGCGATGCGTCAGGATGGATCAGATAAGCTACTTGCAGACTATATAATATCAAGACTACCATCTTATGACAAGAAATGCTTTGAAATCTACATTTATTTAATTTCTTGGATAAATTTCAATTTTATCTGGACAACAGATACTCTTGAAGTTCTCAACAACACTCTATCAAGTCCAGATACTATTACATACGGAATTCGCTGTTTATCAGCATTAATTGAAAGAGGAATGCCAGATGAAGAAAAAACAAGTTTAATTCAAAGTTTACAGATCCCAGAAAGAATTTCTGCAATAATAGAAACAGATAACGAAGAAATTATTACAGAAATTGCTTCTTTATTAAGATCAATTTCAAAATCAACGAAACATCCTGAAATTATTCAAGAATTTGTTGGTTTCGCATTGACAATATTTGAAATGAATACCTATGACTCTTCTTTGAAGATTTTGGACTTTTTTGAAAAATATTTGAAAATAAATTCAGAAAATTCAGTTCTAATCTTTGAATTATGTTATGCAAAGCTGGCCTTATATTTCGAGAACGACTCGGTTATTGATGATATCCTTCCAATCAAGATTTCGGAGATAATTTCAAAAATTAAAAAATTATCTCCAGAAATAAATGAAAATTTCGTCAAAAAGATATCATCATCGGATACATTGCAGGATACATGTGCATGTCTACTCATTTGTTCCACTGTTTACAAAGATAATTCGTGTAATGAAATTTCAATTTCGGCAATTTTGACATTTAGTGAAGTTTTAGACTTTTCTGTTCCATTTGAGTATGACCAACAGCTTTCTGCTGTTATCCTTTATTCATCATTCCTTTCTTATTGCGCAAATTTGTTTGAAGGAAAAACAATTTTTGAATTCTTTGAGAAATTAGTTTATTTTTCTGAATGTGATGTTTCATCTGCATTAATTAATCTCTCCAAGAACAAAAACATCCACGAATTCATTACAAATGACTTCGTTGTCACTTTGGCTTCAACAAGAAACGAATCTTTACTCAAATGCGCAGCAATTTTCATTGAATACCTCAAAGATGGTCAAGATGAGGTACTAGGAACAATTATTGGCCTTCTTCAGGGATTTTTGATGGAAGATAACGAAAATTTATTTGATAATGCGAAAAAAGTTCTTCTTTTCATAAAATCCGTGAATAGTGAAAGCATTGAAGGATATTCTGATTATGTCTATCCACTTTTGACTGAATATCAACAATGTTTTTCACAAGATGATATTATTTTCGCAGAATACATTGAAACTTTGTCCATTGCAATAGGAAATGACTCATTAAAGATTCTGTTATCACTAATTAGCTCAATTAATGGAGTTTATTCATTAATTAGTATTTGTAATTCTTTGAAACGTTGTTTTACAAAAGATAATAGTGAATGGGTTACTTCAGTCTTTGAAACAATAATGGATGGTGTTATTGAAGAATTTAATGAAGAAATAGATTGGAATTGCGAAAATGAAGAAAAAACTATTTCAATTAATCTTCTTATATCATTTATCTCATTTTGTTCAACTGTTTTCGAAAGAATCGGATATAATGAGAGATTATTCGTCTTCATTTCGAATACATTTGTTGATCGATGCGATCAACCACTAATTTTATCATGTTTATGTGATTTCTGTGCAGTTGTTGCTAATAATGATCCAAAACTTGCTTCAGGATTCATGATTCCGAGTATCTCTTTTCTATTGTATTCCGGATTCGATCCTGTCCTTAATTTGTGGAAGAATGTTGTAAGATCTGCTGCAGAATTTCATAGGATTCTAGTTACGAGCGAAGAAAGTTCGATAATTGTAAATTCTTTCCAAGAGTTAGGATTTGACGAAAATTACGCAACAAACTACATTGAAATATTCAAACTCCCACGACAAATGCATGGGAAACAAGCAATTAAGCTTTTTTCTGATATGAAGCACTTAATTAACTCATAGAAATGTTAATTTATATATTAGATTTGTTTATTTAAATACATTCATATAATATTTCAACATTTTTTCCCTCCCTTATATTTTATTCCTATTCAATTTTTTATCGTCTGATTTCGCAAAAAAATGTTAAGTGTCAAAGATATTCAAGTCTATCTGAAACTTCCATTAGAATTATAGTGGCCGGTTCTGGTGGGAAAGTGCTGGGAAACGTCCCGTGAAGTAAAAAATCTGGTTTTTATCGTAATAAAAAAATTTTTCATTTTTTGATTTAAAAAAAAATAGAGAGGATAACTTTCTTTCCCAGACGATTTGATAATGAATTATGTTTCTACTATTCATTGAGGAGCATGTTTCCTATTTCCATCCAATTCTCATAAGTTCTGGTATCACCAAATCTGTGATTCTATCACCATATTTTCCTCTAAATTTATTTACAAAATCTCTCAATTTCTTTACAAAATCATATACCTTCAGAAATATTGCCACTCAGATTCAAAAACTATTACAAGAGAACACTATTAAATCAATGATTGCAGCTTCCAAAAACCGTGCTCTAAACTATCAAAGATCTCTGCAAATGAAAAAAATTCAATGAACAAAGAAAAATCCAAGATGAAACTGCAGACGACTTAGAACAAGAAGCAGAAAATGCAGATCTTGAAACTCTCAATGACAATGAAGATGATTCTGATGATCAGATGAAGAGGAATAATTAAAACTGTTTTTTAATTTAAGTGTTTATTTAGATTGTGTGAGATTTTGAGATATGTAGATTTTAATTGAATAAATGTCGAATAAATTGAGATAAATGAGATGTGTCGGACACACGACCAAAAAGGTTCTCAATTTTGATATTGTGTCGAGCGGTTTGACAGACACATTTCAAAATATGTTTTATCTTATTACACTAATGCTTAGCAATAATATAAACACTTTCACGAAAAAAATTCTCAATTTATGATGTAGAATTTTTTTTTGAATAAAACATAATTTTTTTAAAAAAAATCTATTCCACCATAATTGTCGACGCATTGGTTTTTTGTCGGACACACTTTCGTCATTTTCAGACATGTATATCATTAATAACATGTTAGAAGTTAGACTTGACAATTCTGGTGCAAATATGGCAAATGTTGAGGAGATGCCAGAAGATATTACGTCCCAATATATATTCACAGATGAAGATATTGCCAGTATTACGACAGATCTGATGTATTTAGTTGGTTGGCACGAAGATCAGGTTTTTGGGGTTTGTGGAAGAATGATAAAATACGATCATACGCAACCATTAAGTGTTTATGAACCTTACAGCAAAGATTTTCCGCGTAATGGAGTGGCAAATTTAAGAGGAAAATGGGATCAAATTATTGAAATAAAAGCTCTAGTTCCTTTTTCAGAAAATAGAGGCTATTGCCCCTCTCAAGCATTCGAAACACAGTAACAAAAAGTGCCGATGGCCAAGACACCTCTTTATGAGAATTTCAATGTCATACTACAATTCAAAAACTCAAATTCCTCTTCTTCTACAGAATATTCTACAACTACAGATTCTACATCCCAAGGAATTCAATCCTAAAATTCAAATTATCAAACATACGATTGTTTTTGATTCAAATGCTTTTCGGCTTTAGAATCAAAAATAATCATTAGTGTGATAATTACACTTTTATTGCATTTTTAACAGGCTTCACGCCTGTATAAAAACGCAATAAAAGTGTAAATTTTCCAAATGAAAATTTGTAAAATTCCCAAAATGCAGAATCAACTGATGATTTTCAATTATTAATAATGCCAATGCAAGAAGATCATTATTCTTTATACAACGAACTTGAAGAAGGGTTTGATATTGAAATTGATGGAGAAGAGGCACAAAAAGCAATAACTATAAAAATCGAAAACGTTTTATCACTTCCTGAGAGAACTAGGTACTGAACCTGAATCAGTTCATTGGAGATACTAGTTCTCTATATTAGCTGAGAAACTTTGAAGAAATTGTTCGACATTTCCTCAAAATTTCTCAGCTATTTAGCAGGGAAGAGTGATGGACATTTTACGAAAAAGTTACACTCCGAAAAAGTGACACTTTCATGAGGGTGTGTCACCGCTTCTCGATCCGTACATTGAATTGAAGATGGAGTTTTTTGAAGCACTGAAATATTGTTTCCTTGCGTTAAAGAGGGAATTGTTCCCTCTAATGTATATATTCTTAATATATGCATTAGAAGGAACAATTCCCTCTTTAACGCGCCAAAACTTGCGTCTGATTGCAAACAATCAGACGCAAGTTTTGGCAATTTCCAGTGGAAATAGGGCCTTTTGAGGCACTGATTCATATATAGTGCCTCAAATAGCTTTATTCCCACTTTAAACAAAGGAAACTTTCTCAAAATTTTTTCGAATTTGAGAAAAGTTTCCGAGACTTGATGTGATGACTACTCGCTCTGAGGCACAAATTCTAGATTTGCACCTCAGAGCGAGAATTTCCTCCGAAGGCTCGGAAACTTTCCCCAAATCAAAAACTGGGGAAAGGGCTGTAAGGACGACTCTGGTACCAATAGGTACCAGAGTATTATATTAAAATGCTCACACGAGAAGCTCTAAGAAGATCTTCTCGAATGAAGAAGCTGCACCATCCAAACCTAACGCACCCTGACCACCCATTGCAATTTTATTCATAAGAGCTGCTCTTAAACCTCCTCCACCTTGACTTCCTAGCACTCTCTGCGCCAGTAAATGGTTCTGGTACATTTGCGCCAATAAAGATGGGTCAGTTGCAGCTTGCTGCATTGCTGAGGGGAGTTTTACCACTGGATGTTTCAAAGTTGTAGCACGTTTTTTACGTATATTCTTACGTAATTTACGTGGCATTTTAACTATAGTAAAAAACGGTTTTGATAGTTTTTTATATGACACTTTTGTTCAGCACAAAAAAGTACTCGGTCAATGTGCTGTCTCTTTTTTAAAATAACCGCCAGTTCTCATTCTATAATGGAAACAAGGTTCTCAAAGTATACTTCCTTTGAACGCCTGTAACTTCACGTGTAGCGACGATAGACCCTTACCAACTTTTCATCGAAACTGAGCTTATATTCACTCAAAACATGGCTCTTTCCATTAGTTCCAAATCAGGCAAGTCATATACTGTTTGGTTTAACTTTGTTTTATTCCATCAAAGTGACGAAGAGGACGTCACAGAAGAAGAGGATAAAAAAGAGGAGGAAACAGTAGAAGAAATCTCAAACGAAGAAACAATAGTTGACGACGATGAAGAATTCGGCAAATGGGACGACAAACAAGTCTACTGACTTTCAAATTACGAATAAAAAACTTCATTTTTTAAATATCTTTTTGAGGCTACGGCGGGGTAGGTCACCACCCAGTCACGCTCTCAACCAGAGCGCGGAGGGTGGACCCTTTTTTTCCTCGATTGAATTCTAAATATGTGCAAATTGATTAATAATTGGAATGATTTTTGATGCTGTAATTATTGACAAAGGAATTGTTCCAATGTAAACAGCAGCAATGTCATGAAAAATAAGATTCCCTAACCAAGATTTTACTTGTGGAGAAATATTATTAGAATTAAAAGAAAAAAAATAAATATTTAAAATCTGACAAAATACCATTATATAAAAAAGAAATTGTAAGAGATTTTTAAAGAATTTGAAATATTTTGACTAGGATAATATAAGTGCTAGATTATTATTAGATTACATGACATTGAAACATATTAGTCTATTTTAAAAATAAAAATGATTATAATAACAATAAAAAAATATAATATCATCTTCTGCTAAACATACATACATGGCATATGTTGTAACATATGGATCGTATTTTGTTTGATTTAACATGACTTCATGTTGGGCAAAACTTGTCCAGGCGAGCGAAAAGCATTTTCGAATATAAATAGAATAGATGTTGTAAATAGTGCCCATGATACCTTTCTAATGAAAATGTTTATTACCCAACACAAATGATATAGGAAATGAAATTCCATTTTTGTGTTTAGAATGTGTGTAAGCAAATAATAAATTTTTTGAATGAAATAACGTTTTGGGGGCTCAAAAAAGGTAGGAAAAGTTTCTTTTTCGTGAATGATAATCCTTGATACAAGATAGTTGTGATGCGTTAGAGATAGCAACAGGGAAATTCGGAGGAATAATCAATTTGCCAAAGTCATAAAATGAAAGCAGTTAAAATTATTAAGTATTCTGATATACCGGATTAAGGGATTTGCCACTTTACTTTGTAAAGTGGCAAATCTTGAAAAAATGCCATAGGCTATAAATATTATAAATACTTTATTATTTACGATTTAATGTTTTTAAATTTATTGAATTTAATAAATAATAATTAATAAAATTCCTCATATAAAATAAATATTATATTAAAAAACCTCCCAATATGGGGTACAGATAGAGTTCCAAAAAGTGACAGAAAATGTGATACAAAGCCTTATTTTTGGCCCGAAAATTTTAATACTTAAGATTTAAAAATGAAAAATAAATAAAAAATTGATTTAGAGCTTCAAAATATAATGTAAGAAAAATAAAAATTCTTTTCAAATTCTCTATCATACAGAAAAGCGTCACTCGCAAAAGTGACATTTGGCATATTATGTGTTTATTTTATCAAATATATGCTTCTTATATTTGAGAAATATTTATAACCAAATGCCATCTAAATTAATAGATTATAACCGAACAATCCCAGTACAAAGTCCGCTTTACACCCAATGAATTCGAACTTAGCGAATTACATAATCATTGGTATGATGCATCAGATCAAGAACTATATTTGTTTGTTGATGGCCAGAAGACGAGTTTACGAGTGAGCTAAGAGAATTTCAGAAATAAATAAAGCTCAAAAACATTTTCATTATATTATCGATTTTATTTGTTATATTGGTCGAATAAACAACTTAGTATTCTAATTTTACGATTTTTACAAGCTAGCATATGAAATTCGGCAAAGAGCTCAAGGTAACGAATCAAAATATATCTTGGATAAAGCGCGACTTCCAAATTTTTTACACAAATATAACTCATTTCTCATACTAAAATCTCTCCCGCTACTCGGAATTTTATTTTACATCTTAAGTTATCCAAACTAAGTTTGGGAAATTTTAGTTCCAAATCAAATATTTTTTTAATTACAATGCTTGTTTTAAAAGCCAAATGGCTGCATTTGATTTTCATCAAATTATATTTTACAAAAAATTAAAATTATCATGTTATATGTATTTTGTTTATTGTTATAATAAATGCTAATTATATTTACACAATTTTCAACCTTTTTTGATAACTTTTTAAAATCAAAATTTAGTAATTCGATCAACCAGGGTCGGTGAGATACTGATTCTATCTATGTACCTCGCAGACCCTAGTTCCAAGCCAAAATGTGTGAGTCGAGAGTTTAGATCTCAGAAACTAGATCTACCTCCTCAAATTTATATAATATATTTACTAATATAGATCCGTATTTTTCCCAAGTGAGCGGGTATCTCCAATCCCAGCCCTATCGTCCTCCCAGTGTCAGTTTTCAATATAAAATCCAATTTTTTTTTGAAAATAAAAATTTCGAGAAATTTTTCTGATTTTTTTTCTTTGATTTCAATAATTCAAAATAAATTTGGGAGTAAAAAGACACTATTTAATGAAATTCATATGAGTGAATGTGGATAAATACTCTCAAAACATACAATTTATATATTTTTTCTTTATATTATCAACTAATTAGTGATAATTTTTTTGAATCAGATTTTTTTTCATTAAAAACATAATATATAACACAACAATGATGCACACATACGTATCTACACATCAAAATATAAAGCTTGTTTTGGTCTGGGCATCCCAACCAAAAATTCTTAAAAATTGAATAAAATTGAATACTTGGGGCTGGGATACCCATCCCAAAACCGAATTGAATTTTTTGAATTAAAGAATATATTTATGTATTTATAATATACATGTGATGTCTATAAAAAATACTAAATTCTAAAAAAAATTCAATTTATTCAAAACGTATACTAAGTGATCACTTCATTAGTAGGATCAGCAATCCTACTAAATGGTGAGAACGCCACTAACTAAAAAGGGAGTCCTTGGAGCTCTTGATCTCTTGTCAGTAGAGTTCATCATGAGGCATGGCATCTACTGATTAGAGATCAGAGCAATCCTACCTTACCTTCAGGAGCTACAAAGCTCCTAATCGTTACGAGAGTGAGCCTTGGAGCTCCTGAAGCTCATCAGCAGAGGCTATTTACCATTTGGGCCTCTTTTGATGAAAGATGCGAAACACGTCTACGAACCAGGAGCTCCAAAGCTTCTAATCCTTACGAAAGGGAGCTTTGGAGCTCCTGAGTCTCCATCAACAGAGTCCCAGATGGTAAATGTCCTTTGCTGATGAAAGATGCGAAACACATCTACGAACCAGGAGCTCCAAAGCTTCTAATCCTTACGAAAGGGAGCTTTGGAGCTCCTGAGTCTCCATCAACAGAGTCCCAGATGGTAAATGTCCTTTGCTGATGAAAGATGCGAAACACATCTACGAACCAGGAGCTCCAAAGCTTCTAATCCTTACGAAAGGGAGCTTTGGAGCTCCTGAGTCTCCATCAACAGAGTCCCAGATGGTAAATGTCCTTTGCTGATGAAAGATGCGAAACACATCTACGAACCAGGAGCTCCAAAGCTTCTAATCCTTACGAAAGGGAGCTTTGGAGCTCCTGAGTCTCCATCAACAGAGTCCCAGATGGTAAATGTCCTTTGCTGATGAAAGATGCGAAACACATCTACGAACCAGGAGCTCCAAAGCTCCTAATCCTTACGAAAGGGAGCTTTGGAGCTCCTGAAACTCCTTTTACTATAAAATAGGACAGTTTTCTTCTGAGGTTCTCATCAAATCTAAGACTTCAGAAGAAAGCTGTCCTATCAATGTATACTTACACTCTCATGGACTACAAGTGTACAATTTTAAGGCAGAGATTATCCGAGGCCTCTCATCAAATGAGGGACCTCGGATAATCTCTACCTTAAGTAGTCAAATAACTTTTCTCACTATTTAGGAACAAAAGAACAAGAGTTGGAGTACTTTAAGGCAAGGTCCTTCCGAAATCTCTCATCGAATGAGAGACTTCGGAAGGACCTTGCCAAATCCTTGAACGCCAATATCCTTGGAACTGAGCTAGAACCAGGGAGAAGTAGCATACTATAGAGCACGATGGTAATCTCGGAAATGCTTATATCGCCCCAAGCACAATATTTAAGAAGTCTAACTCATATATACAAGAAGTCAGGCTGAATAGATATTGTGCATATGGTTTGCAGAACTCTCATGATATTTAAAATTCATGTTATCCCAAAAAGGTGACACTTTGGGTGTATCGTCCATCCCAGGGATGCAAAAATCACATCACCTTGGATCTATATTTACTAAAAAAGAATATAAGCGATTTTTTCTCTCACTCTCTTTATGTTTTTAAGCCATTAAAATTCAATTTAAAATAATAGTGACCCTATAATATTTTTTGAGTGGGGGACAAACTCGCCCATTGTCATTTTTTCATTAACCTTAAACTTGTAATTTTCGTTATTTTTAATTAACCTTATTTCTTTCCCAATTTCTGATTTATTTTATTCACTTACTATTAAAAGTCACATTTTAATAAAATATAATAATTTATTTATAGCATTTTTTACTATACTGTAATAAAAAATTAATTATAATAAATTAAATGTTTATTAAATCAAATGTTTTCTTTGCAATAATATTTTTAATGTTGAGTAAACAATGTTGGGATCAAGTGTATCATTTTTCAGACCTTTCTGAACAGCTTCAAGCATACTGATGCATTCGACTTTTTTAAATTGTGTTATTTCTTCGAAATCTCTTGTGACTTTTTTGATAACTTTAACACTTCTCTCTGAATCCAGACCTTTAATTTGCAACTTAATCAGGAATGAAGGAACAACACTGGAATATAACTCGATGACAAGTTCATCGAGTCGAAGATTTCGCCTTTCTGGGAAGTACTGGTGCTTCAAAACCTTGAAATGTGATTCCGAGATGTTGTTTGTTCCATCTCCTTCATTTCTATAGCGAAGCATCCACTTGTCAAGATGATGGCGCCACTGTCGGTCAAAGTATTCACGGGCAGCAGGTTCCTCATTTAAAATTTCTTCTAAATTGTTGTAAACTTCATCAGGATCAATTTCTTCCTCTTCAGAACCAAAGACCAACAACTTCATTAAGTTATAGAAAGTTTCGAAGTTGGAACGATCTTGAAACTTTTCAGCCTTTC